CCCAGGAAGAAGCCCTCTGTGAGGGAAGGGGGCTGGGGTGGGAGGGGGGCCCAGGTCCCAGCACCTCCCAGGGGGGGCAGGAGGGGCAGCGGGAGGGCCTGGGGCTCAGGCTGAGTGGCTGACCCACGCTGGGGACCTGGGGACATCACCTCGGCTCCCTGGCTCTGTGTCCCCATCTGGGACAGGGCAGGGCCTGGGGGACTGAGAGGCCCCAGCAGCTCTGGCCAGGAGACGACCCCGTTCTGTCCCCACAGATGCTTCTGTGAAGGACCCTCAGCCTGAGGACGGGGTGGAGCTGGACAATCGGGTGAGACCCACCCCCAGGCACCAAGAACTCCCTGTTCCCGCTCAGCCCAGCGGCCATGTCCCTGTCCTCCCTCCAGTGACCATCAGGGCCCTAATGAGCCGGGGGCACAGGGCCACGGGGGCCTGACGAGCAGCCGCAGCAGGGGACGCGGCAGGTGCCAAGGTCCTGAGGCAGCAGCCGGCTCTTTCAGGAAGGGGGGAGTGGGGCTGGAGCCAATGAGCAGGGCTGGGGGTGTGGGGTAAGAGCTCAGAGCTGCAGGAGGAGCCTCCAGGCCTCCAGGCTGGAAGCCCCTGGAGACCCCATGAGCAGTGACGTAATCTGAGATTGTTGAGGGGTCACTCTGGCCACAGTGGAAAGTGGCTGGAGGAGAGCCCCAGTGGACCTCAGGGGACACGTCTGTCTCACTGTGTCCCTGCTGCAGGGCCCACCTGACGGAGACCCCCAGGGAGTGACACACGCCCAGGTGGAGCACTCAGGACCCAGGAGGGGCGGGAGCTCCCCTCTTTCCCCGCTGTTGGGGCAGTTCCTGGGCACAGAGGACGCAGAGGACAGACAGACGGACACTCAGGTGGGTCCTGTACTCCCCAGGCCCCTGGCTTCCCCGAGCCAAGCACACACCCTCCCTCTCACCGTCTCCCACTCCAGGCTGCTGCGTCTGAAGGTCCCCAGGACGTGACCTACGCCCAGCTGTGCAGGTGGACACTCAGACGGGGGGCCGCTGCCCCTCCCTCCTCCCAGGCAGAGGAGCCCCCAGCGGAGCCCAGTGTGTACGCTGCTCTGGCCCCCGCTCACCCCGGAGCTGCCCCCAAGGACACTCACTAGTGGCCCTCAGCCAGCCAGCCACCTGACACCTCCAGAGACTCGGGAACTGAGACCGGCCTGACTCTGCATCAGAGAAAAGTGATACCCTGCATTTCACTAATAAAGCCAGAGTTTCTCAATAACCAAGGAGTGGACGAGAAACAGAGGGACAGGAGGTCTCAACATGAATGACAAGGTTAACACTGCACACCAAGGCTGTGAAGTGAGAAAGTTAAGGACCTGAATGATCATGTTAGGAAACGTTTTTTGTGTTGTTTTATTTTGAGTTTTGTTGTTGTTGTTTGTTTTGTGTTCCTTTGGTACTGGGGATTGAACCCAGGGGTGCTTCACCTCCGAGCCACATCTCCAGCCCATTTTTTTTAAATTTATTTTTATTGTTGATAGACCTTTATTTTTTTTATTTATACGTGGTGCTGAGAATCGAACCCAGTGCCTCACATATGCCAGGCAAGTGTGCTACCATTGAGCCACAGCCCCAGCCCCTTGTTTTTTTTATTTTAAGACAGAATCTTGATGAGTCACTGCCTCGAACTTGAGATTCTCCTGCCTCAGCCGCCCAAGTCACTGGGGTTACAGGCGTGTGCCACCATGCCCAGCTGTAGGAAACATGTTTTTTTTTAATTAACAAACTAAGCTATTCTATCGAGAGTTTAGAAAAAAAATAACAAATCACTCCAAATGAAAATAAAGGGAAAAATAATAAGATTAGTTACATATGTTTCAGTATGAGAAGAGCAAGAGAGCAGGCAGGATGGCAGACCCTGCACACGTTTTTAAAGGCAACAAGAGAACATTATGAGCTGTTTTATGCCCACATAGAAGATGTAGATAAAATAGGCAAGATCCCCACACATACAATTTACCAAATGAACATAAAAATAAACAGAAAATCTGAATTGTCTCGTGCACATTAAATAGATTGTGTCTGTAGTTTAAGACGGTTTTCCAGTGGAAATTCGAGTTCGGGAGGCTTTGCTGGTGGTCTCTTCCAAACACTTAGGCACTTGAGAAACACGCACGTGGCCCTACCTGTGTAAGATCTGCTTCTGAGGCTAGAAAAGGAGGAAATGCAACCCCACACATGCTCTCAGAGCAGGAGAAAACTGATACCAAGACCTGACAAGGAAACGAGAGAATGGGCAAGTCACAGGACCATCTCACACCAACCCAGACCTGAGGCCCTAAAGGAAATCAGGTTCCAGCCGTTGCCCAGGGGCACGCGGTCATCCCAGCCACTCGGGAGGCCGAGGCAGGAGGATCCCAAGTCCAAACTCACAGAGACCCTGACTCCAAATAGAGAGTGTGAGGGTCATGGATTGGCAGTGGCGTGCCCCTGGGTCCCACCTCAGCTCAGCCGTGCTGGACTCTGTGCCCTCAGGAAGGTCGATGCGCCCTGACCACATGGAGATCTCCCGTGCTTTTGGTTTTGGCTTTTGCTTTCTGTTTGGAGGACAAGAGTGGCTTGAAATTCAGAAATCAAGTGAGCAATCGGCACATTAACAGAACAGGTGAAAGTTATCATCTCCGAGATGCAGACAAGCCTGGCCCTGAAGGAGACCGTCCGTAAGAACTAGACGCAGCGCAGCTGCAGGGGGCTTCCCTCATGGAGCTCAAAGAGCTAAGGCGGTTGGTCGACCAGGTTTGCTTTCTTTTGTCTTTTAAATCCAGGCCTCACAGGTGCTAGGCAACGGCCTGCCCCAGCACCTCACTCCCAACCCTTCTGTTCTGAGGCAGGGTCCTGCTGAGTTGCCCAGGCTGGCCGGGAAGTCCTGGGCTCAGGGAATCCTCCTGCCTCAGCCTCCTGAGCAGCGGAGCCCACAGGGGCTCCCCACCCGCCGGCTCCACTCCTGAATTTCCACATTTCCCTTTTGCCGTAGGACATTTCTCTGACGTTGTGTCTGTTGGCAAGATACTTTCTTAGTTTTTCTTTGTCTAAGAATTACTTTATTTTGCTTTCAATCCTTAAGAATTTTTCTGCTGGATACAGAATTCTTCTCTCGCACAACTTTAAGTCTGTTTCTCCAGTAGAACGTGGTGCATGGGAGCAGGATACAGAACGCCCCAGGGTGGACGCTCCCCGAGGCCTTCCTCCCTTGATCCGTGGTGGACACTCGGGCGGTGCTCGCTTTTCTCCCGCTGTGACTAGTGACACTGTGACATCCGTGCGCGACTGTTTGTGTGAAATCTCTTCTCAGTTTCTCTGGATGCCGCCCAGGAGCACAGTTGCTGGAAAGTACGTAATTCTGACCCACTCTCAGAGGACCCACAAGCCACCTTACACCACGAGGACACCTTACTTTCCTGTAGGTACACTGGTAACGCCCCAGACCCGGTCCCACGTCCACACCGACACTTGCGGCTCCTCCGCTTGGCTTTGTTTGGCTTTTCCAGATATTGCCTCGCGGCGAGGGCTAGATCATTTGAACCCGGGCATCATCCCGGTTTGATTTATTTCCCTAGTGAATGATGACGCTGTCCGTCTCTCCATGGGCTCGCCATGCACGTTATATCTGCTTTGACGACATGTCTGCGTGTGGGCTTTGCCATTTATAAATGAATTCTCTTGTGTTTCCCTTTTTCTTTTTCTTTTTTTGATACAGGGGATTAAATCCAGGGGTGCCCTACCACTGAGCCACATCCCCAGCCCTTTTCATTTTTTATTTTGAGACAGGGCCTCACTAAGTTGCCCAGGGCCTCGCTAAGTTGCTGAGCCTGGCTTTGAACTTGCAGTCCTCCTGCCTCGGCCTCCTCCCACTGGGATGGCGGGCGTGCGCCACATGCCTGCCCCGCCCAGGTCATCTTTACAGGAGGTCGCTATTCTTCATGTGGCTCTCAATGCTGCTTTCCTTTCTACCTGAAGGACCCACGTTAGCCTTTCCCACAGGATAGATCTACTAGGAAAAAGTCTCCTGAGGGAGCCTTTGATCATCGGAGAATATTTTAATCATTTCTTCATTTTAAAAGGATGGCTTTCCAAGTACACAGTTCCTGGCTGGCAGCTTTATCCTTTAGCACTTAAATGTGTCGTCCAGGTACCTTCTGCTCTAGAAGGTCTCTGGTGAGAATCAGACTGCTCGTCCTCCTGAGGGTCCTTGTACGTGACAAGTGACCTCACCCTCTCAGTGCTTTCAAAGTTCTCTTTGTCCTTGGCTTTGACAAGTCGGCCATCACGTGTCTGCGGGTGGATGTCTTTGGCTTTACCCAGCTTGGAGTCGGCTGGGCCTGCAGATCCCTGTCCTTCATGAAGTCACAGGTTGGCTGTGGGTTCTGGCCTGGCTTCAGTGGATAGCCCGGCTGTTTGGAGCACTCCTGCTTACGCAGGACCCCTGGCCACCCACGTGGGAAGGTGAGGGTCTCTCTGAGCGTGCTCCCTACCCCTGGCTGCTCTGTTCCTAGGGACACACAGGAGCCGTTAAAGCCCTTGCTTCCCGTAGTTCTCCTTTCCCAACCTCCTCCTCCCCAGGAGCTGAGCAGGCCCCTTAGCCTTGAGTAATGGGGGAGTGGAACTCATCACAACACTGGCCTTACCGTCGCTGGGCGAGGAAGTGCAGCTCTGGGCGGGGGCGTCACCCAGTGGGACCGGGACACACACCCCCGTTTGCTGTAACACCATCCCTTGCCTTATGTGGGTGGAATAGTCCGTGGAATGTCCTTCCCCTAATAAATAGAGGGGTTCGGGGTGCGCCCACCCTCTTGCCTGCCTTGCTCCCCTTGCCCTCCAGCTGGGGAGCTGACACCTGAGGTCACAGAGCCATACCTGACTTCCGGAAAAGGCGTTTTGTGTTTGTGGGGTCTTCTCGTTGCTGGCCCAATTCACAGGGAGTGACCTTGACTGCATCTCTCACGCAGGACGTGGGCCACACCCAGGATCCCTGATATGCTTCTTGTCCCAAACAGTGTCCCCAGTCTCCGGCACTGCATCCCATAGCTGTGACTTTGAATACTTTTGGAAGCTGGGCACAGTGGCCCATGCCTGTAACCCTGCTACTTGGGAGGTGGAGGCAGGAAGATCACAAGTTCAAGGCCAGCCTCTGCAATTTGGGCAAATCTATCTCAAAAAATTAAAAAAGGCTGGGGTTGGAGCTGGGGGGCAGAGCACTCAGTATGCTCAAGGCCTGGGTGCAGACGGGTTATGATGAATAAACAAACAGAACACAACTGCTTCTGGCCCAGTCCTCCTGGGAAGACGCTGCAGTCCTGGGAATGGCCCCCGTCAGAGGGAAAGAACGGAGCCCTGCCCTGGAGCTGAGGGCAGCGGGTAGGCAGTGGAGACACATGCCCGCCGCTCTTCCCGATGAGGACCATCTGCCACCTTGGGTGCTAACGGCTGGCCACAGCCACTGGCCCTGCGGCTTGGGGGCAGCAGGCAGGCTGCCAGGGCCTCGTGCTCTGCTGCCCTCATGGGGACTTCCCTTGGTCGCTTCAGCCACCCAGCGGATCTGAGTCCAAAAGCTGATTCTGACAGTTTTGCCCCCCAGCGTGTCCCTGGGGGGGGACGGGGCCCTGGGCCTCCTTCCCCGCGCTCCAGGGCTCCCCACGGTCCTGACAGCTCTCGCCGCTCTCCAGTGGGGCGTTTCAGGAGCCAGCTGACTTCAAAGCCTTCGCCATCGTCTGTCTCCTCTCACTTCTGCCAGGCTCCAGTCAGTCCACCTGGTGCTGCCGTCCACCCTGCCCCACTGGGGCGTCTTCTTTGTTTTGGGGCTGGGAATAAACCCAGAGCCACTTCCCGGCCCTTTTAGTTTTTTGAGTCAGGGTCTCGTTACGTTTCTGAAGTTGCCAAGGGTCTCGCTCAGGTGCTGAGGCTGGCTTTGAACGGAGGATCCTCCCGGCCTCAGTCTCGAGCCACTGGGATTACAGGCGTGCGCCACCATGCCTGGCCTTGGCCTCCTCTTAAAACTCGGGAGACCTGGGTTGGGGACCTGGTGAGTTCATGCACCCTGTTCCAAGTCCTGTCCCCGAGCTGTTTTGTCCAGGCCTCTGCTCCCTCCTGGACTTCCTGGCCCTCATTTTCCAGTTCCCTGATTTCCTACCAACCATCTCCCACCACAGTGGAGGCCAGGCACGGAAGCCCCAGTCCCCAGCCTCCAGCAGGCGTGGGTTCAGTTGCCGGCTTCGCAGATGAGGGGCAAATCAGGCACCAGGACACTCAGCTTGGGCCTCTGCTGGCTCCCTGGGTCCCCTCTCCTCGCCACTCCCCCTTCCCCTCTGGGCTGTGGCCACACACCCAGCCTGCATCCTGCACCT